AGGTCCCGACTTCAATTGCTTCAAATTGAATTTTGTATTTACCTTTACTCTGATATGCAACGAGCATTCGTGCCTAACCTTTGTGCTTATCTCTGTCCCTGACATGCAACATGATGTTGAAAAATACGTTAAGAATGACTTTAGCTGCAGACTTTGATGCGTTAAGCTTTCAAAAGAAATCAACAATATAAGTAACTGTTTGCTGTTCCTATGAAAGGTTAAAGCGTTTACGAATGCGACACAAAGGAGAATTGGGTAACTACTCAATCAATCTAGAGACAAAGAAAGAGAGAGAGCAGGAGGGGTGTTTCAAAATTAATAACTATGTGATTAAAGTTTTACGAATGCGACACAAAGGATATTTGATTAACTACATGATTTCCTGCTCTGAGAAAGGCAGATAAGGAGAGAGAGTGAGAGAGGAAGACAGGTTTCGAAATGATAGACTCTGTACGTTTCAATTAGTAAAATACATGAGTAACTGAGGGCAAGAGAGAAAGAATATAGGATTCAAAATGATTCACTCATAACGTATTAGTAGTTTACCGAATGAAAAGTTTACGAATGCGACACAAGGGAGAATTGGCTAACTGCATGATTAGTAGAGAGAAAGAGAGCTCGAAACTATTCACTCTGTCTGAATAAAACTGTTAAGGATGTAACACAGAGGAGAATCGATTTTAATCAAGTGTAAAGCTCTGATCGTATACATATACATATGTATGTACAACTGCTGTGCATGCTGCAGGTAAAAAAGTTACGGATGCATAACATGAAATAAATTGCCAAATTAAACGCTCAAGAGAGCATGCAGATAGAAAAAGCGAGCGTACAAATGCATGTAGCCATGCACACTTTCCTTTAAAGGTTAACAAATACTTAATGATTTCTACTACATTTTGAATAATTCACTAGTTTTTTTTTAGTGGGTTTTAAATGAAGCCCTTTCTCAGCAAATTTGCAAGCAACAGCTGTAACAATAAACCCTATTCATTTTGCAACCGCCGAATATTTTATTACAGCTCTTTGGCTTACAGTAGGTATTCGAATTCGACTTTTAATGGGCCACTCGAAATCGCGCCCAATTGGTAATGGCAATGGCCAAGGCACAATTGACTGCCAAGTGCATAATCAATGCAATTTTGCATGATTTGCAGCAAAAACTCACAGCCGGAACAGCAACAACCGCAGCAGCAGCGCACGTTGAATGCAAAATGCTGCTGCAAAAGGCAGCGAATGGTCGCCCGTAAGTATGGAATGCTTTTTGTGGCAGTTGCCAGTTGCCAGTTGCCACTCGCCGGTTGCCAGCTGCCAGCTGCCAGCTGCCAACTGCCAGTTGGCCAATTGCAACTTGGTGTTTATTAGCATGATTAGCTGCCCTGCAATGCCACACACACAAATTGTAGACGCATGGCATTTGGGTCAGCCGAGAGTGGGGCAGGGACAGGGACTTCGGCTTTCGGTGGATGCTATTTGAGTGCATGTGGCAAATGGCAGAAGCATCTTGTAATTTGATTTCAACGTTCTTCGTTTGTTTGTGCTTACCCCCCAAAAGGTATTAGATTGCAAAATTACACTGTGCAACATGATTTTAAAATCGATTCCTTTTAAAGAGCATTGCTTTAGATAATTCTTAATCTTTTTTTTAGAGTGGAACAGGCTACTTACCACATGTTTATTCAATAGACATGAGTATATATTTGTAGCACAGTGTTAATAGGAATCTAAATGGCTGCCGAAAGTGCATTGCGATATTGAATGCAAAAGTCGATAAGCTTAAAGCGCATGTTTAATTAGTTTGCCATGCACTTCAATTCTAGGCACACACACTTAAGCTCAGGCACAAATACAAACACAGGCACAAACACACATGCACAGGCCGAGAGAAAAGAGGTGGAAGTGCGTCGCACTTGGCTTATTTCGTTTCATTTCCGGTTAACCACATCCTGCGTAATAAGCGGCCCTTCCGGCCCAAAATAGACTTAAACTGTTTTGTGAGCTGTCATTGTTTTGTTTTTATTGTGAGGCAAATTTTGCGTTAGCCAAAAGGCACAGCAGCCGCCCAAAGACAAGAGGAGCAGCAATGTCCTTGTTGCTGCTGCTGCCAGGATGCTGCTTGGCACTTCCGCCCCTCCAACTGGCGTCCATCCACTGTTGGCCCAAAGTTTTTGTGCTTTGCATGCGAATTGCACGTTTATGGCCACGTTTTTGGATGCTGCCATGTCCTGCCTGGCCATGTTGTCCTGGCCAAAATTGAAAAGCCACAACTGAAGCTGAAGCATTTTTATTTGCACGCCCCATTGTTGCTGTAATTGCTTGTGTAGGACACGCCACTTGGCTTGCATGAAGTTCTCTGGCAATTCCCAAAAACTGATTTGAATATTTGAGCTGTTTTTATTTTTTATAGACTGCCTGCAAAAACAATTTACAAGCCGTACAAATGGATACTTTTGGTATGTGGCGAAGATGCAATGCCCTTGAATAAGTTGGTGTTGAGGTGTTTCCCGTAAACTCACAATATAGAAAGGGAGACAATTTGAGACAGAGAGAATGAAAGAGAGTGAGAGAGAGAGAGAAAGAGAGAGATTCTCTCGTAATAGAGTAATTTAATGTAGATGTAATGTATGTTTTTCTTTAAAAAATATTTGAAAAATGTTTAAATATTAAAAATCTGAAGATGGTCAAAATAAAGCTTTGTTAACCCATGTTGTCGCCTGTACTGGACTATATAAGGTATAACAGATTCCGTAATACCCTAAGAATACCCTTTTAAAGTGTACAATAGCTATAAAACTGCTATTAGTCTCTTTAAACAAAAACACTATATTTTAAATACGTGCTGAAGCATAATTTGTGGGCTGCCACACACAAAGTCTAAGTAAATAATTCTCCACAATTTTCCAAGAGAAAATTAAAATTCTTAAACATTGTCTAAACAATAATTAACTTGCTAGCTTCATTGTATTTAAATTATTATGACAAATGGCAACAGTTTAATTTGCATTACACTAATTGTTGACATAATAAACGAACTTGCAGACCAGCTCTACACCCCCCCCCCCCCCCCCCTTGCCTTCTACCGAAAACCCGTTGCCAAATTTCGCTAACCAAAATGTTGCACAGCAAAACACTTAAATAATGTGAAATTACAATTTAATTGCATTGCAAGTTTGCGGCTAGCGTGCAACAGAATGCAGCTATATTTAGGACGGGGGAGGATTGGGTTTGGCATTGGGTTTGGGTTTTGGTCCACCCCAAGCAGCTGCTTTGAGTCCTAAGTGCGCCCATATGCAAGGACTTACTGTGTGTGACTGTACTTGCAATAATAGACCCACAAGCGAACCAGTTACATATGTTGCACAATCATTTTATTTGCACGAATTAAGCAGCTCACTTCACGCTGTTGCTGCACAGTGGTACACAATCTTCACAAATAACTTGTAAAATAAATAACCTATTCATAATATATATACATAATATATTCATAAGTAAAAATAGTTTAGCTCTTAAAATTGACTTACCTTTTACTGCCGCAGCTTTTTCTCCATTCCGTTACTTACCGTGTTCGCTCAAAAGCTCTGCTGTGGCTCAAGCACAACTGCGCGCCCTCTTTGCCTATGTGCAAAAAGCTCTGCACACAAAATCAAGCACTCATATTGCAGCGAAAGGAGACAATCACGATCGCGTAACGAAAGGAAGATTCATATAATGTATACAATACACACTCGCGACACGAACGCACACATTTAATAATCGGTAGTTAATTAATTGCAGATAACAACTATTTTACAAACAAGCGCGGCGCACACAACCGATTAAGGCGACGGACGCGCACAGACTAAATCGATGCAATTATCTCACGCCAACGCTAAGCCGGCATACACTCTAACATTGCAACAGCTTAGAGCTAGACACTTCTAAGATAACTCTCCCGCTCACACCATAGATAACGGGATCATAAGCATCTTCGCCAATAGCTTGACTGCAGCGTACGTTTGAATTTGCTCTCCCGCTCACGCGCACACACGCACACACACATGGGGCGCTCTGCAGGCTGCAGCCAAAACAATATAACGGAAATTAAAGCATCAGCTGCGCCCATGGCGTGAGCAAATTAATTATCTGCAACTCTCTCTCTCTCTCTCTCTCTCTCTCTCTCTTTGGGTAAGCGCTCTCTGCCAGCGCGCTGATCCGTGCTTAATGCAATCCCACACACACACGAATAATCGTTCACAATAACGCGCTGCCCTGCCTTTAATCATTTTTTGAATATAATTAATCAATTAGGTAAACTACTCAATACCCTTTGAATAATTGTATAGGTTAGCAGTTTCGGCAGTGTGAGGCTACTGTGCGCGTGGGCGGCTTGTGTAGGCAGGTGGGCGGGGCCATTGCATGGCTTCTGTGGCTGCGCTGCGGTTGTGCAATTCTGCGTGCTGCCTGTCAGTTCATCTGCCTCTCCGTCTCTGCCGCCGCCGCCGCCGCCGCCGCCGCCTGCGCTATTAGCATTCATGTGCGTGAGCGTTGGCCAAAAAGGATGGGTGGGGGTAGGGGGCGGTGCGGTTGCCAGGAGCTGGTTGCTGCCGAAAAACCCAAAGCCATAGCTGCAGCTGACGACGACGCCGCCGCCAACGACGACGACGAGGACAACGTTTGGGGTTAACTGGCATTAATGTCATGCAGCCATTCTGCCATTTTGTAGGTGCACACTTTGCGGTTGTTGCAACGAGCCCAACCCAACCAGCCCCCCGGACAACCCACTTGGAAAATTGCTGGAAAAGCCATTTAAAAGTTTCCTTGTGTGTATCTTAGGCTCGTATATCCGACTCGACATTTGAATTTAAATGCAACGCATTATTCTGCAATCCGACTGCGCCTGTTGCATGCCACATTTCCAATGTTTGCTCAACTATTTCTCAAGCAATTTTCTGTTGCCAGCATGCCTTTTGTAAATATGTCTACGACTCGGCTTGTCATTTTGTACAATTTGTTCAAATTGTTTATTTTAGTCAATCGCCCCGAAGACAAAACGTCGCGTGTTATTATTATTATTACTATCATTATTATTGTTTTTATAAATTTTAAGTACTTTTATTCAAAGATCAACTGATCAATTGTTAAACCATTATAATTGTTGAGTGCTCATCATGGAGGGTGAGTAAGCCATATAATGCAAATACCGATTTATTGCAATTAGTATGTCACTTATTTCCAAATATATATGCATACATGTTAACATTACATATCATTTAATTACGTTGAAAAGAACTTGCATAACAAATTTGTGCGAGCTTACTTTTGTTGTTCCCGAGTTACTATAGTTAGTTATTGATAGGTCAGTGCTCAGTCCTTGTGTTTCTCTGTTTCTTTAAGATTTATATTCCTTCTTATCGCATAGGGGTCTGGTTTGTGGAATTTGGCAAACTTTAGCAGAAAATTTGTTGGAAGTTATATCGTATATAGTTGGAAACATAGTCAATCCTAACCTATTTGACAATAAGATCTGCTCTTAACTCTGTAATTAGTTCGAAATAGGTTCAAAAACATTCTCAATCGTAAGATGAATCTTTTTATTTCTTTTTTCTAGAAAACCTTAGCTCAAGAACTTTCCGAATAATATAGAAATACGTAGATATCTTGAAATATTGTGTTCACATTAAAATGTCATATATACTACTAAATACTACATATATCTGGAACATAAATGGCACCCAATGCTTTCGCAAGCCTGTCGAGAACAACTCTTAGTAAAACGTTCTACCCATTTCCTATACACACCCTTTTGATATATCAATTTCCAAATATGGCCATCAATATCGAAGTCCAACTCAATTATTTTAGTACCACATAAAAATAATATGCACATAAAGTGATTAGAGCCATAAATCAGAGAGAACTGGGTCAGAGTTCAGCAAATAGAACGCTGTCTAGACTGAGGGGAATCAGAACTCCGTTTGGCTAATGCCTCGTCGCCTGTGGAAACACGTTTGTCATATTGATTTTGAATTGATAGCAGGTGCACAGATTGGTATTGGGGCAGGTGCGTGCCATGCGTGCCATGCCCTCTGCCGTCAGTCGGGGCACGTTACCCGGCTTCCAGTCAGCCATCGACAGGGCCATCAATTTGGCAGTTCGCGGCCCCAAGTTCAGTCTGGCAGCGACGGCGACCCAGGATGCGTGCACGACAGCCAAACGGCCAGGAACGGGAGCAGCTGCGTCGTCAGCGCTCCGAGACGCGCCTAATCTTGGCACGCTGCCGGGCAAGAGGTGGCATTCCGTGATTGACATTCCATAGTAAAGTTTCAATCAAATTGTTTGCTGTTTTCTCAAAAGGCTTTGAATATGTGGTAAATCCGCCTGTGGTGCCTAAGGTGGCCTTTGGCACGACCATGGATCGCGAGGTGATGCCGGTCAGTGGACCCTTCCTGAACAGCTTCATGAGATCCAATCTGCCGGAGGGACGCGAACAGCCCAGTCCAATTGATTACGACTGTTCCAAGCCTATTGGCTTTAAGGTAAGTGTGGCGCATGTAATGGATGAACAGAAATTTCTCTTTCTTGAAGTTGCCTCTCTTTCTTTTATATTTCTTTATTTCTTCAAATTGTCGTTAGTTCGTTTAACTTTCTTCTAACTTCCATCTACCTAAATCTCCTGCATATCAGTCCTCTTGTGCTTCTGTCCTTTTCTTTCACTTTCTTCAATTTGTTTTTTATCCTTTTAAGCTTCTTGCTTACTTCTTTGCTTTTTAAAATCTATATTTCTTCCTAGCTCATATCTTCTGCTTTCTCCCCTTCTGTCACTTTCTTCCGTATTCTTTTTATCTCCTTCGTTTCTTCCATTTCTTTCCTATTGCATATCTGTCTATCTATCTCGCTCAGCGCATATGCTTATCTCTCTTTCTTCTACTTTTTGTCTTTCACACTTCTGAGTTTCTTTCACTTCCTTCTATCTGTATTCTTGATCTCTTTTAACTTTACTTTACCTTCTATGCCTTTGTCTTTCTTTCTTTCTTTCACTTTTCAGATTTTTTATCTCTTTACTTAAGCTATACGTTAATTTCTTTGTCTCTGTCGCTCCCAGTTAGTCCATCTCTTTCTCTCTTTCACTTTCTTCTGCCTGTTTTCACTGTTCCACTATTTTTTATCTGTTAAACATTTGTTCTGCTCTACTTTCCTTATCTATTTGCATGTCTATGTTTCTCTTTCCTTTCTTCTGTATTTTTTGTATCTTCTTTATTCTCTAATATTTTTCTTTGCTTTCTCTTTCCTCTTGCATATCTATCTGGCTCCCTCTCCCCTTCTATCTAATTTGTATCGCGTACATTCTCTCTCTCTCTCTATTTCTTATTCTTTTTACCACCTCTTCTCACTCAAATAAACTCTTGCAGTATCCCTCCAATGCTGGCTTCTCTGCTCTGGCCAACAAGATGCCCCGTCTGCCCATCGAACCGGAGAAGATTGTTCCACCCATGGGCGCCTATGAGGCAACACCTTGGATACTCCGCGCTGGCTACACCTTTGACAAGTATATGGTGCCGGAGCCCAAATGGGTAACTCCCGGGTAAGTCAGTGAATGCCAAAAACAAGCTGCCCAAAGGATAGACAATTGTTCCCGCCCGACGCAGTGCCTCCACCTACTCGACCCACAACAAATATCCATATTGGAAAATGGAAACCGCCTTTGGCACCCGTCGCATTATCTGGCCCGCGGTGGCCGTCTTCTGCGGCCCCAACAATGTGGCCCAGTGCCTGGTCTGTCATGAGCGTCCCAAAGGCGATTATTTCCATTGCTTTGCCACCGACAAGGATATGTGCCGCAAGTGCATGCGCGAGGAGATGTCCACCATCAAGCACTGCAGCGTGAGTGTCGTGGAGCGCTATCGCAAGCGCCAGCATATAAAACAGTTTGTACCCGCCCGCTATTGTGGTTTCTTTCACGATCACAACGGGACCACTGCCGCCACCGAGTCCATCTCACGCAAGGAGCTGCGTGCCAAGATCCGTGTCGAGAATTATTTGTATCGCTTTGCCAGCAAAGTGGAATGAGGCGCTACGAATATCAGAAGGTTTCTCCAGTTTCCAGACAAATAGTAGCAGAAAAGTAAACCAAAAATATGTTTCAAAATTTTTAATAATTATATAGTATATTGATATTACAGCAATGGGACATTTGCCGTTTTGTGTATCCCAGATAAATTGTAAATGATTTAAAAAATGCATAAAAATTATTATGTAAAGTTATGTAAAAATGCAAGTGTTAACGAATTGTTGAAAATTATGAAATAAAGTAATGTAAAATTTGACGCAACGACTGCTCCGCTTGTTAGTTAGGCTTAAGATTTGTGTTGATGAATGTTAAATTTCATCCAGCGACTTCTCCAATTGTTAGTTCAACGCTCAAACAGCTAAGCCAGTCAGGATAACGATTGATATTGATAGCTGTTATATGTGAGTTTGCGACTAAACCGCTTGTTAGTTGAACTTAAAGTTAAGCTTATCAGCCTTAAAAACTGAATGTTAATTTTGAGCCAGCGACTTCTCCGCTTGTTAGTTTAACGCTCAAACAGCTAAGCCAGGCGGGATTACAATTGATATTGATAGCTGTTATATGTGAGTTTGAATGTCAAATTTGAGCCAGCGACTTCTCTGCTTGTTAGTTCAACGCTCAAACAGCTAAGCCAGGCAGGATAACGATTGATATTGATAGCTGTTATATGGGAGTTTGCGGCTTAACCGATTGTTAGTTAGTTGAACTTAAAGTTAAGCTTATCAGCCTTAAAAACTGAATGTTAAATTTGAGCCAGCGACTTCTCTGTTTGTTAGTTCAACGCTCAAACAGCTAAGCCAGGCGGGATTACAATTGATATTGATAGCTGTTAAATTTGAGCCTAAAATTAAGCTTACCAGCTTTAAAAACTGAATGTCAAATTTGAGCCAGCGACTTCTCTGCTTGCTAGTTCAACGCTCACACAGCAAAGCTACACAGGTGTACGATTGATATTGATGCTGTCGATTTTCCCTTGGACTGTAAGATTCCTAGCTCTTAAGATTCTGTCTTATTTGTTATATATAAATATATATGAAAAACTTTATTAACTAACAATATCTAAAATTTCGTTAACAATCTCTGAAAGTTATTCAACTGTTCAATTGGCATTTCAACTGTCACAAATGCCACGAAAAAAGTGGCGTGAACGTGTTGGCCAACAAAGTGTGGCATTTGAGGCGTTTGGGGGCGTTTCCAAGTAAAATGACATTCATTGACAGCCAGCTACCTGTGTGCCACACATGCACACACACGCACACGCACATGGCTGCATATAATGGCTGGCAATGTCGACGCCATTGTTGCATGCCACCAATGCCTGCCACATGGCTACACGTGCCTGGCCACATTGTGTCTGGCTAACGGAATAGGAATAGGAAAAGGAAACTAAGCGCCGGAAATACGAATAAAATGTTCCACTATAAAAAAACGACTCGTCGCAAGTTTTTCAATGTGCGTGGAAATATGCCTATTAACTCAAAATTGTATTGTTAAGAGTTTGTTTTTATTCTAACGATACATCGGATCTTTATTATAATGCTATTGTTTATATGAAAAAAATATATATAAAATATTGTTTTTAATTTTATTCTCGAAAACAAAAATATTTCCGCATGACCTAAAATAAAACTGCATATTTCATAAATAAAGTATTTTTTATTCTTTAATATTCATATTTTAACAATATATGTATGCAGTTGGTTTTCATATTTATTCATAATTAAATATAAATATCATTTTCGAAGTAAGCAACCTTTGATAATATTCAACAACATTTTAATAGTTACGTTGAATATAAAGTATATAAAAATAAAAATAAATATATATATTTTTAAAATAAATTTTATTTATAGGTATTATTTTATTATTTTTATTTGACTGAATTTGTCGAATATAAACTAAATCGAAACTATAATATTTAATCGTTTATAAATAAAACAAAAAAAACATGCCAAAACAAAAGCGTATGTGTAATGACTTTTATTTTATTAAAAGAAAAATAATGTTTTATAGGCAAAAAATAAATATAATTTAAATATTTTTTTACTTGACTATTTCGTTTAATTATTATTTTAAAATAAAGTTTTTGTAATTTATATTGTTTCAATTTATTTACTTTTTATTTTCTTTATCTTATTATAATTCTATTTTTTTATTTTTATTCCCTGTTATTTTATGAATATGGTTGATCAACAAAACAGCAAATAATGCTTAAATATTTATTAATTATTAGTTTATTATTCTTATTAGCTATTAATTTATTAATAAATTATGACCAATGTTGAATAAACTTTTTATATTTATTTTATTATTTATATTAAATATTATTTGATGTGTTATGTTGTTTAACAAAAAATAAATTTTAAATAATTATTTATTGTCTTTTATTTTGTTTAATATTGAAAAGAAAAAACTTGTTTTAAAAATTATTAATTTTTATTTATATTAACCCATTGTGTTTATATATCAAGTTGACAAATTGCTTAAGGAAAAAGAAATCATTTTTAAATATATTTTAATATTGTTTAATTAACATTTTTGTTAATAATGTATTAACTAATTTAACAAAATATTGATAAAAAAAAAAATAAAATGATGTAAAACACTTTTTTATTTAATTAACAATTCTTTTTTGATGATTTAAGTTGAGAAATTGCTAAACAAAAAAGAACAGCCACTGTGATATAAAGAGTACAAAGGTCGACTACATCAACAGCGAACGTTCTCTTCCCTTTAAACAATTGACGAGCGGCATTAAACTGGACACGTTAGTTATTAATAAAAGTACTTTCAGGAGACAAATTGTTGTGAATTGCGATGCAACCAAAAAGAACAGCCACTGTGATATGGAATCGATATAATCTATACAGTATATCAGCAGCAGCAGTTCCCTGCGGTTAAACATAGCACATAAAAAATGGTCAGCAAATATTTGTTAAACTTTCACAATTTAAGGAATTAACGTTGTACGGCGCTTCAGGTACAAAAAGAACAGCCACTGTGATATAGACAATACGCAAAACATACAGCACAGCGTCTATTCTCTCTACTTTAAAGGCTATAAACAGATAACTGCGCGATATAGCTGGTTTATGTCTATATAGACATGGATAGAGATCGTATATCGAGTTGCTTTACGGGCTGCACGCGCTATAAAGGAAAATCACTGTGATATGTAACGGTTAATGAACGCATATCACAACGATCGTTCCTTTTAGCGCATGACCCAATATATATAGTATAAGAGAATATCAGATATATGTATATAGTCAGATTATAGCCGCTGCTTATGCCACAACGAACTTCAATGGTTGTCTAGCTTTATGATCAGAGAAATCACCTAAGGCTGGACGACCAAAGAAACTAATTGCAACCTCTATATGATATAGATATATATTGCGCCGGATTTCAAAATCGAGAACTTGTGCTTTTTATATACGTTGAACATTTTAAAATTATAGCACGAGTGTTCGGTCTAGTCACTTTATATAGATAATGGGTATATTGTTTAAAAAAGCGACCATACCGACAATCGCCATTTAATTTTAAAATACTGGAATATTGGAACTGAAACACTGTCACACTGGAACACTGGAATATCGGAACTGCGTTTTTTCTCTAGTAGCCACAATTTTGAGACACACTTTGCCCAGTGATGGGTTTTGGAGGCAGACATAACCGCACAAAATGCATCCCAAAAGCAGAGCTATGAGATTCTGTTATTTTTATGTAATAATATTCTTTTTTTTTTGCTGTTCTTTTTGCGATTATACGACAAACTTCACCCAGTGATGCGCACAAAAAGAGCCTGGCAAAACTGAACAAAGTTTACCATATAATATTTGTTATATTGGGCTTCTTCTGTACGCCAGATCCTTACATACTGACACTCGAATGCAAACTGATGTTCGATACGTCCGCAGCCCGATCTTATATACCCCAGACGTGCATGTACCTGAGGTCGGCTTATCGGCTCTTACCTAGATTTACCTGTGCTTAGTCGGCGCTTTCCCTGGAAATCGCAGTTGACCTTCGTTGAAAAATTTTGCAACTTAATCCGTGGCCATAAACGGATTAATCCCGCACATTCTGGGTAAAAACGCGCAGCTGTGTCGCGGCATAAATTCGCAGAAGTGCAATTAGGTTAGGTCCCTGTACCCGGCCCAAAAAGGATCGCCGCTTGGTTAATTGATCAGTTAGTGCGAAGCGCAGTTGTTTTTCTATCTATGTATATTCTTCCATCCAACGATCGTCCTTGCCGCATAGCTTTTTGTATTGACTGTACGCAAAGGTGCGGCAGATTGTGCTACCGTGCTTGAGTCCTTCGGATACTGTACCACGAGCCCGGACCACCTGTTGACAGAGAATTTATAGCTAATCCGACACTTAAGATCATATAAATATTTGAACATACTTTTTCCGTTGACTGCCTTACATTTTCTTTAAATGTTCGCCCAATTCCAGATGGGGTTTATTATAGATCTATAATTTTACTAACAACATTTTTATTGCATATCGACTTGAGATGTCTTTGAGCTTCTTACACAGATGTTTGATCTGCTGATCCTCTTTAATTCCATATCTCGGCTTTTTCTCTATTTATTTTAAATTATTGCTGGTTTTCGCTTTTCATGGAAATCAGTGGTAAATTCTGGTATTTTGCGTGGAAATTCTACCTAAAGGAGCACACTTTTTTCTGGAACAGATTGAAAAGCGATGTGAGCAGACGCTTGATTTTCTGCCAGCTTCTATGTGATTTTGCCTTGAGTAGCTTGGTACAGTTTCGCATCTTTCCCACAGACAGTAATTTCCAGCTTAGATTCTTTCCAGCAGAAAGTCTATTTTCCAATTGATTTTGTCGAAACTGGAATGATTACTGGAAAGAGTCGAAGCTGTATCATGTTTCCTAGGACAAGATCACTTAAAAACCTTCGACTCTTTCAAGCAGATATTTTTCTTTCACTTTCCAATTTCGACTCCTTTTCGCAAACAATTCACTTTCCAGTTTCGACTATGTTCCATTTTCCGAAGTCTGCCGGAAGGAGGCAAAGCTGGAAAGTGGAATGTCTTGGAAGAGTCGAAACTGTATTAAGTTTCCAAAATATAAAATACATAAAAATCTTCGACTCTTTCTAACAGACATTCCACTTTCCAATTCCGACTCTTTCCTTCAAACATTCAACTTTCCAGTTTCGACTGCAGTTATTCAACTTGTGG